GGGCCTTGAATTCCTGATCTTTCCAAGACTTTTATCATGAAGGGATGTTGAATTTTATCAAATGCTTTCTCAGCATCTAGTGAGATGATCATGTGGTTTTTTTCTTTAAGTTTGTTTATATAGTGGATTACATTGATGGATTTCCGAATATTGAACCATCCCTGCATTCCTGGGATAAAACCTACTTGATCATGATGGATGATTGTTTTTATGTGTTCTTGGATTTGGTTTGCTAGAATTTTATTGAGTATTTTTGCATCGATGTTCATGAGGGAGATTGGTCTGAAGTTCTCTTTCTTTGTCGGGTCTTTGTGGGGTTTGGGTATGAGTGTAATTGTAGCTTCATAGAACGAATTGGGTAGTGTTCCTTCTGTTTCTATTTTGTGGAATAGTTTGAAGAGAATTGGTATTAGGTCTTCCTTGAAGGTCTGATAAAATTCAGCACTAAAACCATCTGGTCCTGGGTTTTTTTCACTTGTTGCTCTTGAAGAGGACCCAGCTCCCTCTCTCAGCACCCACATGGAGGCTCACGATCATCTGTAGGTCCAGTTTCAGGAGATCTGACACCTTTTTCTGACCTCCTTGAGCACCAGACACACACATGGTGTACATAGATGCATGCATACAAAACACTCATACATATGACAGAACTAAGGACAAAGGGACAAAGAGCAAAATAGTAAAGTAAATAAACAAAAGAAAGATTAGGACTCAACTTTGTTTGCTGGACCCTAAGGCCCTTACTATCCTTTGCAGTGTGCAAGAAAAAAGCGCAAAGAATAATTCATTTCCTTTGTCTCAAAGGAACCCTATGAGCTTTATTACAGGGTTAATACCATGACATATTAAACTCAATTTTATAAAAAGAAAAATGACTTAGCTTTTAAAAATGATCACTCTCAGATAGTGCCATTCAGCAAGATGGTGTTAAGGAAGTGATGCTTCAGGAGACATTTAATACCAACAAGGAAAGTCAAAGAAGCATTTCTGTATGGAGATGGACTGGTGTCTACAAGGCTTTAAAGTGTAACAGAATGACCTCCGTCTATCACCTGCTGTCACCGATCTTATTCATTTGTTTCCTCTTTTCCTCTCTGAGTTTCCTCTGCCAGCCCTTATTCTAAGTCTTGTGGTAGAAAAGAAAGTTGCTTAAGGCAGCATGAGTCAATCCAGGACTCAGTCGTTGAAAATCTAATAGAAGTAGGGGGTACCGATGAGCACTTCATAGACTCTGGTAGTCATGAGTGCAACTACTGCTCCATTCTCACGGCCTACTCATTTTGAGTTTCCTTTCCATCAGAGCGTGTACCCCCTTGTTCGGTGAATAGTTTCCCCAGGATGGAATCTTTCTGGCTTTCTGAACCAGAACGTTCTTGCTAAAAGTCTTTTTACTGCCTCAGTCACCTCTTGGTTTCTTAAACTGTAGATTAAGGGATTGAGCAAGGGGGAGAAGAAGGTATAGACAACAGATACTGCCCGGCCTTCTTCCGGAGAGTAGCTGGAACTAGGGCGAAGGTAGATGAGGGTGCAACATCCATACTGCAGGACAACCACGAGAAGATGTGAGGAGCAGGTGGAAAAAGCCCGGCGTTTCCCTTCTGCTGACGTCATCCTCAGGATGGTAGCCACAATGCAACCATAGGAGAGACATATAAGGAGAAAGGGAACGGCCACTGCAGCCACGCTGACGGCAAAGAGAGCTGCCTGGTGTATATGGGTATCTGTACAGGCCAGGCGCATGACTGCAGGCATGTCGCAGAAGAAGTGGTAGATTTCATTGTGGCCACAGAACGGGAGGTGGCAGATCAGAATGGTCAAAGGCAATGACAAAAGGAATCCCAGCCCCAGAGAACCTAAAGCCATCTGCCCACACAGCTGCCAACTCATAATGAGGCTGTAATGCAATGGATGACAAATGGCCACATACCTGTCATAAGCCATGATGGCCAGCAGGACACAATCAGATCCTCCAAGAAGGATGAAGAAGAACATCTGGGCCCCACAGCTGGGCAGAGAGATAAGCATCTTCCCCATGGAAAGGATGCTAGCCAGAGTCAGTGGAGCAATGTTGGTGGAATAGCCAAGCTCTAATGTGGCCAACACCAAAAGGAAGAAGTACATCGGGGTATGGAGGGAGTGATCCTGCCAGACTGTGAGCCCAATGGTGAAGTTTCCAATGAGGCTTCCTAGATACAGCAGCAAGAAGCCCACAAACACTAGTGAAGCCACTGTGGAGTTGGTTGAAAAGGGACGGAAGTAGAAATATACCACTCCTGTCTGATTTTCCTCCTCCATCAGACCTAGTACAAGGAAAAGAATCAAGGGTAAAGTTACTGTCCAGCGTCACTAAGCTATATTAAAACCACAGTCTGCAGTTATCCAAGTGCTTATTCTCCGGGCTTCCTTTGGATTTCAACCCCAACTAGCTCTGTGAATTTAGAGATATATAGACTCCAGCATTTTCACTGTAAAACTCAGAAATGTATGACACCCACTTCAAAGTGCTGGTGAAAATTGAACGAGATTCTATGACTACAAGCACAGAGACCGATCCCAGGCATGCATGAAGTTCTCGATATACGTTTCCTTGTCATGTTCATGATATTTCTGACAATCATCCCTCTTCTTTTGGAGCAAAACTATCTCACAGCCTCATGCCTTTTTGTTTCTATGACTACATTCATAGAACAGCTTACAAGTACAGATCTCTAAGAATGTATGTGATTCCCACACCAAGCTCAGAAGGCAAGCTACACAAGACTGCCCTTTACCCATTCTGCAAATGTGAATATTCAGAGCCCAGATCAATAAAATAGGACACATTTTTACCTATGCAATCCTTTAAAATTTGGAATTCTGATTTTTTTTTCTTAAATCTTGAACAATTCAGTTTCACAGTTGCATTGTGCCAAAGATCAGCCTTACAGTTGCTTCATCTTCCTTCACTTTTCCCTTTATCATTGTTCCAATGACATCTGCCTTACAAAGGATTTCTAAACTCCTGTACAGGGCTCACCTCCTCACCTACCTTGATATCACAGGCCCAATATAGTCTCTTTTAAATGCTTTCTAAACTCTCTTGATTGATTCTGGAAGTCTTTTTTTTTTCTTTTTTTTTTTTTCTTTTTCGAGACAGGGTTTCTCTGTGTAGCCCTGGCTGTCCTGGAACTCACTCTGTAGACCAGGCTGGCCTCGAACTCAGAAATCCACTTGCCTCTGCCTCCCAAGTGCTGGGATTAAAGGCATGTACCACCACTGCCCGGCTTTATTGTAACAATTTTTAAACAAACTTTGTTTGCATTATCTCTAACAATATATTGAAACGCTCTATTTTGTCAAAATACTGAGAATTTTATAAGCTATGTAATGCTCATATAAGTATTCTTTATACCACCTTTTACTGAGTGTAAGTTAAAGACATCCCAAACCAAAAATTAACATTTCTAATCAAATTTATTCTAAATGAATCTAAAACAATGACATCATTTTAATAGAAAATAATGAAAGCAATTTAATATCAAATACTAGATTAAGCCCTTGCAATATAAGTGAAACTATATTTATAAAGATGATACATTAATATCAAAACATTTGTTATATAAAGCAAATAAGAAGCAATACAAGAGACTGATTTCCACAGTGCCACTAGAATCCAGAGTTTAAGTAATGAACACAATACTCAATTTAACTGATTATAGATATAGTGTAACTAAAAACAAAAACAAGATCTAGACAGCTGTTGCACATTGTGTGCTTGGTCAACACACCCCCTCACTTCACCCCATTCCCTTTTGAGTCATCCCTTTTGTGTACATGTTGGTCTCCCTGGCTCTAGATAGATAGATAGATAGATAGATAGATAGATAGATAGATAGATAGATAGATAGGTGAGAGATAGTTGAGAGATAGTTGAGAGATGGTAGATAGATGGATAGATGATTGAGTGATAGATGATTGAGAGATAGGTAGATAGATAGATGATAGATAGATAGATAGATAGATAGATAGATAGATAGATAGATGAAATTATAGCTTCCGTGACAACAGCTTTTCTTTGTGCTTATACATACTCACACACTGTTTGCATACAATGAATAAACTGCAACTTTCTCTTAAGAGCTATGCCAACAAGAGCTAACAAGAAAAGGTGAAGAATAGTAGCTAACATGAGCTGAGTGTCTGGTGATGTTTCATGTATTGAGAATAGTTGTGACTAGTGTTTATTGGATGTTTGGCACTAGTCTATGTTCTTTCTATTAGTTAGTTCATTTATTCTTCATAGTTAACTGACAAGGAAGGTGCTGTTACCCTAACTTTACAGATAAACACAAAACCTACATCCTGACTCCAGCCAAGAGGTTCTGTACACTTACCCATTGCCTCATGTTGACTTGCCAGGCCCATGTCCTCATATCTGTCAGCTTTTTGGCTTTCTGCTTTACATACATGGACTTGGAGGAAAATAATGATTTACCACATATTATCTACAGGAGAAAACCATGTCACCTACCCGTTGAGACCAAGAAATCTTTTTTTTTCTTTCCTGTTTTTGTTTTGTTTGTTTGTGACAGGTTTCTCTCTGGTTTCCTGAAACTCCCTCTGTAGACCAGGCTGGCCTCAAACTCACATAGATCTCCCTGCCTCTGTCTGCCAAGTGCTGGGACTAAAAGCAGGTGCCACCACCGCCCAGCTGAAATCTTTTTTTCTTAAGTGCACCTAGAATAAAACCATAGATCATTTTAATATGTGATAATAAAAATAAGAACTCTGATTGTTGTAATCTTTATTGCCCAATTGAGAGAGAGGGAGGGTGAGACAGAGACAGAATCTATTACCACATAAATTCTTTTCTTAACAAAAGGTAGAGCTTACCTCAAGCTGATGATAAATCACAAGAACATAAAGTTATCAGGTGGCTTTTTGTGCATTTCCTCCCCCAAGAGCCTTGGACATCTATCATCTCAGGGACCAGAGAAATGGACCAATGAACTCATTGAGACTCCGGAGATGTCTCTCTGGAGGATAGTGAAGAATGATGTTACCCACATTGAATCTCTTCATGGGAATCCCCAATGGATTCATTTATTTAGCAGTTACCTACTGAGCACCTACCACCTTTATGTTTTTTGTACTGTCCTTGGGACTAGAGATATAGAAGTAAGAAAACAAAATATTCCTTGACTTGATGAAGGTTATATCCTAACGAGAGAGAGAAGATAATAAGAGAAATACAAGGAAACAATATAATCATAGGTAATGTGTGAATGTGAAAAATAAAGCAAGACAATAACATGGAGAATGATGGGTGTGGGAAGCGGGCAAATGTAACCTGAATTGAGGCGACTCTGTCTAGGAATATGACCTTTGAACAGAGACCTAAAATAATATAAAAGATCCAAGAGAGTGCATCCCGAGAAAGAAAACAACTTGTGTAGTGGTCTAAGACAGGGATTGTTGGTGGTGTAATGAGTCTCAGGAAGTGGAAAAGAAGATGTAGAAGTGCAAGCAATCTTAAGAGATGAAAGGGAGGAGGATCCCAAGATGGCTCACAAGGTAAAAGCATTGGTGTCCAAGTGTGATGACCTGAGTTCAGTCTCCACAATCCACAGGTCCTCTCGGAATGCCAAGTGTCACACACATCATGCAGAGCCTGGAGGATGTTCAGGATTATAACTCTGCCAGGACTGCAATGTAAGTTTCATAGAAACCACTGAATATTTTAAGTAGACCAATATCTAGCTTTGTGTTAAGATTTCATACTTAACCATGGCACAAAGAACAAAGTCAGAGTTAAGGTGACATCAGGGGGCTGATACTTCATGGTGAAGACTCCTAATGCTTGAATCAGCCTCACCTTTATGCTTCCTTCCACCTTCCTTCTTTCCCTCCCTGAAATTTAGTAATATGGAAGTCTGTGTATATAAGAGAAAAATGTAATGTTTCTGTAGAACAAATTATTTTATCTGATTGGTCTTGTTAAAAATAAATAAAGCCCACGTAGTTGGGGCTGGAGATGTAGCTGAGTCCTTGCCTAGCATGCACAAAGCCCTAGTGGTTCAATCAATAAGCTAGAAGCTATTGAACCCAATTCTTTGCTTAGTGAAGCACTCATTGCTTCCTTGTTACAGGTGATGAAATTGCAGCTTTGAGAGTTAAACAACCTTTCTGCTGGGTACCGGCTGCTTGATGTCAAAATAGGCAAGTTCATGAAACCAGAGAAAGTGGTGTTGGTCCTGGCTAGAAGCTACTCCACACAGACATAAAGCTGTCATCATGAAAGAACACTGATTATGGCGTACCTCAGACTCTCCTTACAGCCATGCTCTGGTGGCTGGAATTATCCCCAAAACATGATAGCTCCCATGGGCAAGAAGAAATCAAGATCAAAGTCCTGTGTGAAACTTTATAACTACAGTCACCTGAAGTGGAACTTCTGGTTTCTTTGGAAAGTCATGTATGTTGGATGGTGTTTTGCTGGGGCAGACATGTGAAGGAATGTTTTCCTGAAGCAGACACAGATAAGAGGATGTTTTGCTGAAGCAAGCATCTGAAAAGATATGTAATGAAGGATTCTTTGCTAATGACATGCATGTACTGGTTCGCCTTACATTTCATTGTTGAGCTTTACTTGTCATGACTCCATAGAGAGAAACACACCAAAAAACAAAAAAAACAAAAAAACAAAAAAAAACAAAAAAAACTTGCAGTGTTCTGGCAGTTTCTTGCCACTTCCACAGACTCCAGTCAATTGGCAGAGTGATATCAGCTGATATAGACTCATGTGGAGTTTTGCCAAGACAGATTAATGTGCTGAGGTAAAACATGTGGAGGACACATGATGTTTGGAGGGAATATAGACAGGACTCAACAGACAGTGATGAGGGTCTTGCATAGGTAGCTTGGCAATATTTCACTGGTCTCGAATCTTTGCTAATCTTCACTTCATGGAGAAAGGTACTGCAGAAAACTTCTCCTGTATCCCTGGTGGGTTTAGTCACTCCTGCTGACTCATGCTGATTCAGCTGAGGCCTGGCTGTTTCTGCTAGGTCTCACTGCCAATTTGTGTTTGCTATCCCAACACTACTGAACTTGACTGCTGGTATATTCACGAAGTGTTTGTCAGTGAATCAAGCTGCCACTGCTGATTCCTGTGAGCTGAACTGTTGATTTCCTGAAAACACAGATTGATTTTGCTCCAAAGAACAATTTCTAAACAGATCCACTTCCCCCATATTTTAATAACCTTTGTTTTCCACTACTTCTGGTGGGTGGTCGACTAGAAGAGAGGTTAAAGCATTTAAGAACCCGTATTAACAATAGATTTTAAGGAATCCAAGCAACAATCACCACATGCCCACAAGGTACTCTGTGGGAATCTATC